AACCTGGCACATGGGACTGGCGAGTCCGGACGGGGAGGGAACGGAAAACCCTAACTATTCCTTTCCTAAGAACATTGGCTCGGGCCGCTGCTGCCTACTGTCGATGCAGAAATTATGTAGACTCAAATTTGTACGATTTGTACATGAGAGTACACGATTTCTACCTAAAATCCATGTGCCAGGTTACATCTGTTGACCTGTACCAGGTCACCCCTTGCTTTGCTGGATACGTTCTACGCTCAGGCTTATAGCCTAGGTGGACACGTAAATGCAAGGTTAAAAGAGGCCACCAACATACAGTAAAACAAATTACTCCAAAATCCCCATCAAAGTACTATGCTGTTGTTTCATGCTGATTTCACAACAATGCATTATATTATGGTTCATGTTACAGTTAATCCTACTAATATTATAAATGAGAAAGTTTGGATGTATGGATGTATGGATGTATGGATGTATGTTTGTGACAAGTGAACGCGAAAAATACTGGTCGGATTGGGCAAAAAATTTGGCATGATGATAGCTCACATTCCCGATTAACATATAGGCATATTCTTATTTCAAAAATCCTTTCGGGCTCCACCCCAGTGGCTCTGGAGTTTCCCATGTTAACCTTATGAGAAATGGAATTATTGAATCTTAACAGCTGTTTCAATTAAACAAGTTGGTTCTGTTCTATGATGTTCAATAGCATTAAAGTTACAAGGATTACCAACAGGGTGCAGCACTATTATTTATTTTACATGTATGACAACAGCTAATTTGCAACCAAAAGGTGAGTGAGCGTAGCGAACGAACTTCAACCTGGAGGCGAGTTAGCGTAGCGAATGAGCTAACCTAAAGGCAAGTGAGCGCAGCGAACGAGCACCAACCTAAAGGTGAGTGAGCGTAGCGAACAAACTTCAACCAGGACGTGATTGAGCCATGCGAACGAGATGATCTTGAAAATTAAGAAGTTAAAAGGGGCAAAGCCCGCGGGTTACAGCTAGTAAAAATATAAATTAGGGAGAAAATTTGTTAAAATATTATAATCAAACAACTGCTGCAACTTGACGTAAATTTCTCCTCAGTATCGTTTCCTGGTCATGACAAGAAGTGTTGTTAGAGTAGCATTGCGATATAATTACTGTATCAAAGATGGAATGGAAAGAGAGAGAATGATTAATTTAATTTCCTAAATAGGCGCTGTAATTTCTCTTAGGAAGTGGCTAGATTCATAAAAGTATTTAATGAAGAAGTATTTTGTGTTGAAAAAAGGGGACCCCTCCAAGAGTGACGAAACACATTAAAGAGTGTTGCTGGGCATTATTGAAGGTTTAGAAAAGTGTCTCCAAAATGTATACCTAGTTATACGTTAATTTAGATTATCTACTCTAACTCGAGTTGGGGAGCAAACAGGTCTAGTGGTAGAGCGCGGGACTTCGACCCCGAGGTCCCAGTTTCAAATCCCAACAATTACTAATGGATTTTACTAAGTTATGATGGCGGAGCCCTGAGGTCTATCCTGAAGTAATGTGAAACCCGATTCCGGACTAGAGGCCTAATGTCCTAGTACAAAAAAAAACTAAACCGACATAACAAGGTGTGTATTTTAAGACCAAGCCAATTAAAAACTGATAACTTTTCTCATGTTGGATTGTGACCTTCTGAAAATGCAAGCACGATTTCCACTCGGCTTCTCATAATACTGACAAAGATATTTGTTTTTTTGTTCCTTTAATTGTTAATCACCGTAGACCACTGATTTGTGCGGTCGATCTAAAGACAAGAACCGTTATGATACATTGTTGTAGTCTGTATGATTGAACATCCTGAATCTAACCTAACCTAGCTGGGAACCGACCAATGGTTTCAGGCCCTCGTCAGTCCCAGGTAGATTAAGGGTAAGGAGTCAGGTTCCATCATACATACTTTAACGTAATCAAACCAGTGGTGCCTGCAGGGGTGTGACGAGTCTCGAAAGAACTATTTAACCCATAAAGTTGCTACCTCTGAGATATCGTGCTTTATTTGATCTTCTAAGCTATAACTGTGTACCCTACTTTACCCTGATGATGTAACTTGTCCCCTGCCCATTCATCTACCTGGACTAGCCAATGGTTAAATTATGTGGAGACAGGTTCCATCATACAGACTATAGACTGAATCGTTCTTCAGACTACAATACACAACTCAAACACAAGTGAGGCAGTCAGAGTCAATGGCACACATCAGGGCGGATTCCAAGCTCAAGGTCGTAAGGAGTCTGCAAGTGTAACTGGATAACGTATCAGCGAAAGTAGTTCCAGTTGTGCAACCCGAGCATTTCCCGTCCTTGGGAGAAAGCCGAGGATGGACAACGACGACGTAGGGCTCTGCCCCAGTGGCTTTGACGACCGCTTCCGTCGCGAGGGTGGAGTACTTATGCAACGTGGGAACATTGTTATGACATAGGGTGTGGTGGATATGATGGGTAGAAACACTGATCTAGGGTACACAAGAATCTTGGGACATTGTTTCTGGTTCTTGAATGACTGGCAATTTGGGTCGGGAAAGTATTTTTGTTTTAGTATTTCTATAGGTGTTAGCCCGGAATAGGGTTTTGCATTACTTTAGGCTAGGTCTAGAGGAGGTTGAGGCATTATCACCTAGAGATAAAGTCACTTAGGTTGAGGCATCCATTGGTGATTGGCGGGATTTGAGCCTGGGACCTCTAGGACCAAAGTCATGCACTCTACCTCTATGTCAGCTGGCTACCTAGGTTGCAGACATAACTATTGTAACCATAATACAGATAAAAAGTGAAGATTTTCAAAACTATGTAGCTTTGCTTAGAAAGACTAGTTGGAGGACTACCTAGAATGAAGCTGGGCGAAATCAAAACCAATTGAAAATCAAGAGCATCTTCTGCTACAAAGACATTTATACCTAAAATAATAAAATCTACTACTAAATTTATTAAGAACTTAAGTGGATGTTTTTATGGAACAACACTCTCTCCATCTTTATAGGCCGATTATTATGTAAAACGTGTCGATTTAGACTTTTTGGTTAAATAGTTCACATCTGAATTTTCTCTTAACGCTTTATTATACAACACACTTCTCTTTTACATAAAACATGGATTTTTGCTGAACATTCGACAAAAATATATGTGCCAAAAGTCAAATATATGGGGCACTTTTTTAGCACCCTCCTCCTCTCTACGTTACCCCTACTGGTCAGGCCTGCCTTAACTGCATCCAGTTCTTTCATTATGGGCAGCTTCGCCATTTGCTGGGGACTTTTTTTAATTGTTAGATTTATTAATACAAAGTATTTATTTGCTATATCCTTTTACTACTATATGTTTCGTGGGACCTACCACATATTTAGGTTTGACTTCTTCTAGGATTCGTCATACATGGTATAATTGCAGACGATCCAAAATTTTAATAGAGCAAAGGTGCAGTCTTTAAAGAAAATTTGACATGAGATACTGTTTTTTTAGATTTTTTTGGGGAAAGAAATGTATTTATGAAATTAAACCCTACCTAAAGAATTTAACACCAATTTTTATGATAGAGTTTTTTAAAAGAGACCAAAACATAATGGTTTGCTTCCTGATTATCAGGTAAATAAACGCTCATTAATACAGCAGCAATCAATTTAAAGTTCAATAATTCCTTTATCGGACATAACCTAAATAACATTGATATTGTCTTTATAACTGTGAGGAGTTTGGCGAAGTTCGTTTTCTGATAAATTTTGTATTATTTGTAACATTCTCCTCTTGCAATATTAATTGTGCAACTCTTCTATAACGCGACCTACAGGAAGTGTAAGAACACTTAAGATCGTTCGTATACAAGTAGCAATAAATCAATGGTAGAAAGTGTTGATCTTCGCACAGAGCAAGAACGTATCGGAGAACGTCCATAGAGTAGTGAGAGTAAACGTATCAAGCTGTTGGTCGAGATATCTGTTTTTTGTGCGTAATTACGCTGAACTAAGAAAGTTATTTCCCCACATTATATATCAGATAGGAGACAGACTTTTACTTGTAGTTCAACACGTTTCCATCTTGCTGCGTTATTTTTTATAACAGGTTATCAAATTAACTACATCACGTTGTAAGTAGCAAAGTGGTTGGCATTATAATAATTGTCCATCTCTGTCTTTCTGTCTTGGTAAAACTTAATTTATAAATCCAACATTCTAAAGGACCAAATTCACAAGCGTACTATAGTATTTTTGTTCGACAAAAACTGTTGCACTTTAAAAGTGAGACCCTCTACTGAATATCCCCACAGTAAGTGCATACTTAGACTTCTTAAGATTTAAGTAAGATTTATGACTGAAACTGAAATCTCAGTTTTCATCGATTTAAGTACCTTTTAGCCATTAGATGTAGTTCAAAGTATATGTTTAAATAAAGTTTTTCTTTTTATTTTAAAACTGTATTGTGAAACTACTGATTCCATAAAAACGGGTTCTGTCAGTTAGAAATATTTGTAAGCATTATAGTAACCATTATTGAGCAATATATTTTGCTAACTAACAAAATTTTTTTGTTTTTTTCGCATTCATTTTTTTTCAGAAGCTTCCTTGTCGTTTACATACCTTTCAAAGACCGGATTGAAAAAAGCTAAATTTATCAAAGACCACTATAATTGACCCGATTAAAATAGTCGCTGTAACTCCAATAAGTAGTACTTCCAGTTTGGCTTTGTTGAAATGTTGGCATGGTTAAAAGAATAAAATAAGTAATAACATTCGTGCACCATGTCGGGCTTAATTCATCTACGATTGTTATTCTAAGACTGGCGACAACTAACTTTAACATGAAAGAGGGATCTATTATTTTCAGTATCCAAAGGTAGAACCTTAACTGTAATCATTAACAAACTTAAACCCTGATGTATCCGTATGTATATATAGAAGCTGCATTAATAAATATTATATATTGCAGGGTTTTAAAATACAACTTTATAACACATATAAACGATTAAAATAAACTTTTATTTGTTAGAATGAATACAGAAAACACAACAAAACATCATGATGATGGCTCAGCCCCATGGGTGGTATGAGGGCTTGTGGGCTTGAGCGGCTGCTTGGGCGGCTGCATGGGCGGAGGCCTTCTGGATAGCGTGGGCGGCGGCCTGGGAGCGCTGGATAGCGGCGGCTGCGGCTTGGGCGGCTTCAGACCTCTGGATGGCCGCGGCGGCAGCTGCAGCTGCTTCGGTTCTGTAAAATCTATCGAAGTTAATACGTGCAATGTGGTTATACTCATAAACATTAACACTTAAACATTTGATGTGTATAAATGCAATTGTAGTTTTGTCCCTACACTACGTTAAAGGTTGAACTTTGTTTTTTTTTTGCTTAAGAAAGTCGAACCTACCTCTGGATAGCGGCAGCGGCGGCCTGAGACCTCTGAATAGCTGCAGCGGTGGCTGCTGCGGCTTCGCTCCTGAAAAAAATCACAAATATAATTTTAAAACTTTTATTTTCGGTATTTAAATTTGGAAAATCATTAAGCATACAAATCAATGATGTAATTATTGTTTACATTTTTTGCTTGGGGGATCTCAATGTGGTCAAGAACTCGTGTTTTTCTTTTCAATTTAGGAGCATATTAAGTCAATACAAAACCAAGTAGCTTAAACAGTTAGAGAAGAGTTTAATACAATACCTAGCTTTCCGAGAACACGAAAACTTGATGTTTGCTTTGCCATGTCTTTTGCACTTTTTCTCTTCTGTGATCATGACCCTACAATTACATAACTGTTGGTTTTGATTCTAGACTTGAAATTTTACAGGATGTTTGAAATCTTATACTAGTCAATGTTTGAGAGGAAGATTACTTTCTTGGGTTGTGTGAAATGGCCATATTTTATTAACGTTGAGCTCTTTTAAGTGTTTAAGTTCCTCTTTAATTTGATGTATTCCTGTATATACCTGTACATAGATAGACCATTACAAGCAGTTACAACCTCTTATATACATGTTATAGCAAATTGGCCATAGTTTAAAAACGGTATGTAAGTTGTGACGTTCACTGCTTTCAAACTCTAATATGTATTAACTTTTTAGTTTAGAATATCGTGGAATAAGTACAGTTTAAAATGGTCATCGAGTCTTGGTCACTCCCTAATTATTGTTTTCAGATTTTAGACCGACATAAATCAATATTATTTTGTAGACACATATTTTTAAGAAATTGATAGTTTTAATTTTCAAACCAGCATTGTATTACTGTACATTAAATCGTTATCATTTCTTCGGTCAATTATTCTTGATCATGGTAACACACTAAATTAAAAGATTCGTTGACCAATAACAAAAAATTATTTAATCTACGAAATATCTCTCACCTCTGGATAGCGGCAGCGGCAGCCGCTTCCTTAGCCGCGGCTATCCTCTGTTGCACTAGGACTGCCTCCTTGGCCGCCTGGACGCGGTGTTGGGCGAGAGCGGCAGCGGCGGACGCCTCCTTGGCAGCGGCCAGAGCGGTGGCGACCTCGTGGGCGTTGGTGGCGGCAGCTCCATGGTACGCCGCGAGAGACTGAGGAACAAGTGATAATTTATATAATTTTAGGGATTTTTGTGGATATTTTCTATTGCATTTAGTACAAAAAAATGTTTTTGCAACGTTACAGGACGTGAAGTCTGTTCTAGTTTGAAACAATTAATCCCTGTTTAGTCATAATCATGGTAAACTTCTTTATATTTTTGGTGTGTAATTATACTTTAGGTAGAAATAGGGATGGAATTTTATTCTATATTTTAAACAAGTTTTATAATTCGTAAAATGCTTATTCGTATAAGTTGATTCATTTTAAACTGAGTAACAAAAACACATATTTTGAAAGTATTTAGATTGTGATGGGATTTAACCTACTGAGTTTGAGTTAGTGAGACAATATAAAATTTAATATGTCCATAAACTCTTACGGGTACACTGCAGTTTAATTGGGTATATGTGAAGATTTAGGGGTAAATAATGTCCATTTATGGTGGTTAAATAATATTGGAGTCAATAACAAAGAAATCCGTGTCCAACATCACAAAAATCGTGAATGTCTACTCAAAATATAACAAGGGTATAGCAAAGAAAAACAAAGCTTAAAAATATTACCTTAGGGCTGCCCAGATCGTGCAGGGATGCAGACAGGGATGCAGACAGGGAGTTGGCAGGGTCGTGCAGTGAGAGGTCAGCGCTGAGCGGCCAGCCGGCGAGACCCACGCCGCTACCAGCCGCGGGCCAGGGAGCTGCTCCAGGCCAAGACCCAGCGGCACCGGCCGCAGCGGCAGCCAGACCCGCTCCGCTGGACGGCCAGACGCTAGCCGCCCAGTCTCCTGCGCCGTACAGACCCAAGCCGACCCCGCGCTTCATGGACTTCTTGTCTTGGGCATCTTCCGCGCCTCTGCACACCGCGGTCAAGCACAAAGAGGCCAGGAGTCCCTGGAATAGATGTATGGAAATGTTATAATGTTACAAGGAATATACAAGAGTCAGCTCATGATATCAAGATTGAGATGGTAAATACTAGAGATGCGAATAAAAGGATTCGAAATAATATGTTTTTATCATTAGTTTAAGGCAGTGAGGCATACCTAGCCTCGTATTTTAAACTAAATGAATGCAAGATGAGTGTAGAATGGTGTGAAATGATCTGTGTAGCTTTGTTACTGACCAAGATCAGCTGTTTTATTAGCTTAGATCAATTTATTAAAAGCCCAATAATCAAGGACAGCTGGGTCTAGTTTCAAACCATCAAAACATTCACTTTTTTTGGGATCGAACCGGTGACCTTTTGATTACTCGACGAGTACTATTGCTACTAAGCTATTCAACTATTGGAAGAGGAGCTTCAGTTTGTTTTTGAACCTAATGAATACACTATACACTGACATAAGATACAAAGACATCTTTTTAGTGTATTTATGGTGTAGCCTTGTAATATTTGAACAACACTAATATCTCTCGTTTAAGTCACTAAAGTACTAAATGTATTGTTTCAACTAAGTGTATGATTTTGTAATTAGATACTACCATAGTGATTTGTAAACTATTTATAGGAATTTTGTAACTAAACAAATAGTAAGGTCGTAATTAGATAATAGTACAATAATAATTTTAGAGTCCAGCTAAAACGCAATTTATTCATATTTCAATTTTATTTAAATGTTATACAAATTATTAAAGCTTAGGATTTGAATCATAACATATTGTACAATTCCTAACACTAGGTACCTTCATTGCAATTCTTTAAGGATAAAATAAAGTTAATTCCCAAAAGCTATTTAGTAATTCATCTCTTTTTTTAAGTCTTCAACATACGTTTTTGACCAACATAATCCAACAAACTAATTATTTTTATGAGTGATTTTAAAACAAGAACACGGAAGGCGCCACATCGGCAATATTCATACTGCGTTCAAATAGCCTACTCTACGTTTCTGAAGGGGCTAGATCTGTATTTTTATGAGTTATTGGCGTGTACCTTGGGGTACACAGTTTAAATTATATCGTTAATAAACATTTCTAATTTATTCGAAATTTTTTGCCAAAAATTGTTAATATTTAATGTAGTTCATACTTTAAAAGTTTTAAATGCTATTAAAACAAAAAATGTTACTCACAAAAGTAATGTTCATCATGATGAGATGGGAAGCTGGATAGAACTAGAAGAAGCTCTGAGAGATACTGTACCTTCCCTCTGGTAGGTTCAATATTTATACTATCACCGATAGAAGGTGTCCTCTAGTAATTATTAATAATTGAACCTTTTGTTTACTTTCCCGAGAGAGGACACCCCCTCTTCTCGCCCCCCTTGACGTAACAGGTCCAAATTCCGTTCCATCTGACCATCACTGAAGGCTTGGAGCACTGGAAGTCTCTAGACTTAGAAATTTTCAAAATACAGTTGGTTGAAATTCCTTTCTGTATATTAATTAAATTCATTCGTGGGATTTTTAATAGGTACGTTCATAGGTAAGCTAACATTCAACATTAGTTTGGATCCAATATAAATTGAATGGGTATACTAGTTAAATAGTTGCTTGTGGTCGAGTAAAATGTTAGCACAAACTTTTTGTCGGTATTCTCTGATATATTCATCTTGGATGACAAATATACTAATATTCTACCTTGACAATAAAATATACCATAAAATATATTTAATATACTACCTCTTGGAGTTGTCATTCTGATTCATTTTAAAAATAATTTCAAGGCATGTGTCAATCATATGCTATGTGTGTTTCTTTGTACCACCAATTTAATATTATTTTAATATATTTTATAAAGGTAAAATAAAGATGTACTAACAAAAGATTTCTTCACCATAAAAGAAGTAAAATATTGCATTACAACAACAAAATAAATCACAATCGTTACCAGTCATCCATAGCAAGAAATAAGTATTTCATCAACTTTAAAGTCCAAAAGGCTAACTGTACGTGGAAAAAACGCTAAAACGTGCCTCTGATTTTACAATAATACAACAAATCTTCTTGAATTATGTGAAGTTAATGAGAAGTTGAATGGGTGTTATACTTATTGTGATCAGGTATCTGATTATACTAGTATGATTATTTTGGTGAAATACTACTAATAATGACGGGCAAAACTGTGAGAAAAAGTTGCATTCCTCTAAATCACATGTAATTTGATTTTTTATATTTTTATAATTTGTTCTGTATTGTAAAGAATACAGCCACAACAAAACATAAGCTAGGTTAATTATAGGTTTAATGATAAGTCCAGATTTATATATTTAGTCTTAGAGAAAATCTGTGGCTTTTGGTATTAACATGGACATTTCAAACCCAATTTTTACATAGTGGCAAAGGAGAACCTGCATTTTAATTTTTTTTTAACCAAACAAATTGTTTAGGCCTACAAATAACCTGTCTTCAAACGGGGATTAATTAATTCTTTTTAGTTTTGGAATACACTACAAAAGTACAGATTCCTTTTTTATATTTGGTAGCAGAGGTTTTGTTTTCTTATATTTGTCTGAGGGTTTAGCTGCATTTTTACAATAAAGTTTGTAAAACTTGTATGACCACAAGAAACAATTATTCGACGAATTATTTTACTTACTTATAAGACTAAGACAAAAATACAACTATCTGCTTTTAACTACATGTATAACTGTTTTTGTTTAGTTTAATTCTGTGCTAAAACCCCTAGTCTATATTCAATGTTTTATGTTGTAACGATAGTTGTTGACTCGTGTCCTCAAGAAAGTAACATACACTGCTCATTTGTTTCAAAAGATTTTAACTAAAAATTGTCCTAAATATGTCAGATTTAATCCATATTTAAATAATGTTACGTTTAATATGTACCTGGGTTTGCGTTTACAAGGGAGGAAACTATTTTTTGTAAATATAAATAATATTAACTTAATAAATCATTATGTTTGATCGAAATTTATCCATAAACAAGCTACAAAAATTTCGTTTCACTCAATAAGAATTACACTGAAATTTTAAATGACAATTTTTCATAAATCTTCTCCATAACCCTTTAAACGTACAACATTGCTTCAATATTAAAAATTATTTGTATTGCAGCTGTACACGATGGTTGTAACGATAAGTTTAGTTTTAAATTAATAATACATTGTAAAAGGGAAACAAAGAGTATTTTTGACCTTAAGTATTACTTAAATCTAAATATAAACATGTTTTCGATCGCCCTTTGCTCATGAACACGTCATTGTTAGGAATGAAATCAGATGGTTTAAGTGTAGTAGCATTCTTCGCACAATATAATAGATAGTTTCCTTCCTGTTTATTTTACAAAATGCTTGATGTTGAACCTGTGAGAAATCGTTATACAAAAAATTTGGAAACCAAGCCCCAAGGCTATGGGATCAACAACTCTATAATCTTTATTATTTAGTGGTGTTATCTAAATCGCTTACAATTGATTTTGATCAGAATTTTAATTTCAATTTATACAGTAAGTAGCACAAAGTGTTTGCCATCATTTATTGAGCTATTACAAGAGCTATTACACATCTATATCTCTACATAGCCTTATCTATATTTTATTATTTCTTCTATTATTTAACATACGAAAATGAGCCTTGAGGAAGAATGCACTATCGAACTTGGCGAGGCAGTAAAAGGTCAAGATAGAGGAGATTCTAGTGTCATGGTAGGAATGTTTCTTTTCACTGTTTGAAAAGTTCAACTAACTGACAATGGTGCAATTGATTCAATTGCACAATCAGCTTCTTTGTAATCTATAAAGCAACAAATATCAATATCATTTAGGAATTTAGATTACTGCCACGCATCCGTATTTCCATTCTAAAACAATAATAAAATACATAATGTTCCAATTTGAAAGTTAGCCACCATGTTTGAAAATAGAAGCAATTTTTGAAAACAAGTTGAATTGATATATTTTAATGTACTGATGATTTTCTAGAACTCACAGAAAGCAGCTTTCTGTCATTCGAGATTACGATCATGTTTAAAAAGTTAATAACATGTAAAAATAAAAAGTCTTTTGTGCTATAAGAGTTGTTTGGAATACTTGTTGATTTATTATACAGCCACAAAAATAACTATACAAAAACTACTAAATCCTAAAGATTCTCTTTTGTCTTGTAGACTCTATTACTTAATTTTCCCTTTTAGGGTCTTTTGCTAAAAAATATAATACAACATGTTTCACACAAAAATAAATATATCTAACAAAATATTTAAAGTAGGAACTTTAATGAATATGTTGGTGAATGCTTTTTTTTACTAAATTGCACCCTTTTATGACCTAACAAAATAAACTTATATATTCTGACATAGGCCTAAATTCTTGTTGAAACTCTATTAAACTAAACATTTTATGTCTGTAATCTCGTTATCGTAGGTCAAAGCGAAATACCGAAAACTCAATATTACTCTAGACTAATGAGAAGTCCCGAAGACAAGGGTTCGATTCCCACCAACCACCAATTGATTTTAGCAATTCGATAAGTGATAAACTGATAACCGGTGCCCACCTTAGAGATGGAAAATTGCTTTCAAAGATGGCAAATTACTTTTAAAGATGATAAATGACTTTAAAAGATGTCTAAGGACTTTTATCAAATTTTCTCTTGATTCCTAAACTTTGAAATTATAATTGAGATTCGGGCTGGAATAAGATGATAGGTATTTTATACCTATGTGTACTAAAACATTTTATCAGTGTCTTACTCGTATGTGCATGTTCAAACAAATCACATGCTAACATCACACTATGTCTACGATAGTAATCTACACGTAAACTGCTGTTTTCGACAGTTTTGAAATACTTTTACTTTCATCTAGAGCGTAAACTTACATTACATAACTATGCTGAGCGCGTGGTGGCGATAGGGAAGTGCTAAAGTGCCGATGGAAGATTATCTTAGCACCCTCCAATCTCCAGTGTTTTCACTTGGGATAATTTCCCCTTAATCTTGAGATGTTTATCGTTAAACCAACAGTAATAACAGTTACCCTTTAACCTACGTAGGTCTGTCTAGCACCGGGGTGCCACGTGCTGCAGTTTACATATTTTCGTAAATAGTGCGAGATCTGAACCAGGGGCGTGAAGTTTGATCAGTGAAGATGATCTGTAGTTAACTAGTGGGAATCAAGAAGTGAGAGGAACCCTTGCTTTGGTTTTTACGTAATTTGTTGGAAGTTTTTTTTTTTTTTTTTGTTAGTCAGTTTGTATTGTAATGTGTTTTTTCATATGTTGGGAAACCAATGTGCAAAGAAATTCTGACCAGTTAAGCATGAGTACTTCACAATGTTTGTACAGCTTGGAACCAAACCTACGAAAAATTCGAAATAACCTCTGTACATTAATATTGTGTTTTCCAATTTAAAAGATTAGTGATTTCTTCGCCATTCCAAAAGAGGCCAAACTTCCAATGTAAGTAGCCAAGTATTTTGTTTGTAGTTTTTTTGTGTATGGTTTTCTTTTGCTGTGTGCTTGTTTCGGTTTGTGATTGGCATTGATTTTTGCCTATTTAAAATCCATATTTATTTTTGACGATGCTTATTGCATGTTTTTCATTTTAATTGGTTGTGTTCCATTACAATATAGCTCTAGGCTGGCTAAATATTATAAAGGCTTATACTAGCACTCATGCAAATATATATTTCCATTGCCTGAATTTGTTTAACCTCTTTCATCACTTCCACATGGGACCTCAAAACAAAAAAGTAAATTGGTCCCGGGTCTAGGTCTTACCATGAAACTATGGTAATAGTTTATTCCCTATATGGGAAATTTGCTAAAATAAGAAGTTAAAATTCTCAGAAAAAAAATTCCGTCAGCGATTTAGTGCAAAAAGACTGCATGAGATATAAATGTTGAGAACATTACAGTTATAGCTGTTATACTGCGTTCATAGCAGACGAATTTGGTAAATCTGTCATGTGTTACAAGGCGTTCACATCCTTCAATTTCGAATTCCTTTATTGTTTAGTACAACTGTAAATTCCAATTCTTACGTTTTCAAGTAATAATTTACAAATATACATGACAGACTCTAATCGCTTTCAGAAATAGTTAGACTTATTACCGAGTTATTGTGGAGACAAACAAATCGATTGAGGGTTGTTCTTACTAAGTTCTTTGAATCCGTTCTTAAATTCAACTAACAATATCATTTAAAAAAACATTTTTAAGAAATGCTACAATATT